CTTGAGCCTAAGTGTGTCGCAGGATACCCTCTAGGTGATAGTTCTTCATTACTTTTTGATAAATAATTCGTTCTTATTGCGAAATAGGAGCACTAATTATCAATCTGCAATAAAAGACGTGAGGAAATTCTGTCTTTTTTAAAGGCAAAAATTTTTGAGGCGAAATACCCAAAAAGAAGTTTGTAAAAAAATGAATCCGCCTCAACAATATAGAACTTATCTACAACTAAGAAATCCCTTGTGATTGGGGACGAAATTTCACAACAATTGAAACTTTTCTTTGTCTACTGTGGCGTTTCACTTACTCTGTTAAATGCACGTTTAGAATAGCCCTAGCGCTGCAAAGGAGTATTTTTTTCGATTTTTTGAGGATTAATCGTTATTAAAACCCGGCGGTTCGGGACACTTGAACGAAATAAACGCTCAAGGCTGATTGATTTTTGCATCTTAAAACTTTAAAATGTCTTGAATTTCCTTCTTGTGTCTTGTTCGAACAAATTCACACAAATGCGGGTTAGTAAAATGGAGGATTAGCGGAAACGCATGCTCTAACCAATGTTAATCACAACTTTTCGGGCTTTTAAATGTATTTCCTCACTACTGCAGCATATTAATCCACGCAAGGTTCTTTAATGCGTCATTTTTTGGGGGAAGATGYAATGAAGATAATCSTAAAAATTTCAAGTTTATATTGACTTCCAAACAGAAACTCGATGCATTTTTCYTTTGTTTCAAACTCCAATTYCTCTATTCAGTCAAGTCGCCGGCTCAACGGTTTTAATAAACCTTTGGAAGCATTATTAAAATTTTGCGGTCGGTGAATGTTAATTTGAAGTCTCGTCCGGCTTAAAACTTTGCGCAAAATTTCGAATTAATATCAAAAGTGACCGAAGAATCTGCTGTGCGAAGTGCTATTAAGTGGGGCGAGCCCTAAAGGAAACAGACAGGGCAGAGAAGTTACATTCTTTGTTGATTATGCAGACATTTCCAAGTATGAAGAAATAAGAAAATGCAAAAAATCCCCGATAAAGCTTCCAGACTCAAAAAAAAATACGGAATTTTAGTTACAAAGCTGAATAAAGATGACCAGTTTTGCCAACACTCACTTTAGATTTGTTTTTATAGGCTTAAAACTGGGAGATTTTAAGCGGTGAAGGCATCAGTTTGGAACACAGCAGCTCGCAGGCGTGTTGCATCTCTCATCACACCTTATGAGTGCGAGTGAGCGCACCGATGCCGGCCACGTCCCTGAATGGAACTCAGTTTCCATTAGGCGATTGGAAACAGTCGAACCGAAGCAAAACGTGCGTGTTAAATTGAGATGGAATTTTCCACAAAATTAGAACAATCGCAGCAAAACATTTAAGATAAGTGATTGGAACTGAACCCAGTGAAATTGAAATTAGAGCGAAATAGTCGGTAATTTGAACATAACCTGGAACTAGTCTGAGTGGAATCCTTATGTACATTGTCCCATAAGACCCATCTAATTAAGTTCCCAGCCAAGTTGGAACTTGCTAGACTGCAAATACCTGAAATGTTTACTTTGCTAAATATGTTTGCTAGAATTGGATGGATGCGCACTCACGCGATAATCTTGAGCAAACTAACCGAGAACATTAGTTTTTATGAAAAGTTGAGCAAAATCGCAAAAAGGACTGCAACTGTATGGGTTCTGTTAAGCCCCGCGGCAGGATTTTATTACATGAGGCCATTCAGTCAAAGTTCCATATATGAAAATGGCAAATAGCCGCTAAAATTTAACGATCGAAATAAAAGGGTTTGAAGATGGCTAACGGGCAGGAATCGAGGCAGGATCGTGCCAGGAGACGCATATATTTTTTAGTTATTGCAACTTTTATGCGCAATTCAAGTAGTTCATGAATTTGATTATGTAAACTTTTGCTCGGGGGACTTAACTCATGTTGAAACTAGTCAAATTAATCACATTTGTGGGGAAAACACGCTATTTTTAGGAAAAAATCCCCAATTATCTTCATTGCATCACGGTCTTTATACGAACTTGTATTGACATTTCCAACTAGTGAACTTACTTGAATTTTGCTTAGGCACGTAGGGCGTCAACAGTCGGGTTCTCTTCTTTTCGTAACCTTTTTGGGTGATATCGCCTGAAACAAACAAATAAATTGTGATTAAAACAGTAGTTGAAAATAGCCGAAAATGGCAACATTCTGTTCACATTTCGTCAATTTTCACGCCACCCAAGCTATTTTTCAAATCTGCTTCCCGATTTCCTCTCATAACCAATTAAAGTTGTTAAAGATTGTCCACTTCACTCGTTGGACTTATTGAGACATTTCCTCTCTCCATCACAACTGACTATTTTCTGTCGATTTTCTCAGCGTAAAATGCCTCCAGACGCCAACTGAGCTGGAAGTTTCCTAATAAACAACCAACCAACTAATTGAAAAGTAAATAGCTGCCATTGATTTAAGCGAGAAAATCTAATGAAATCAAAGACCGCGTTTTACTGATTCGGTGCGAAACTTTTTCAATCTCATCGCTCTTCTAGTCGGTGGCACCTTTAGACGAAAAAGTTAAGATTTAATAAAGAAACGGCAAATATTTGCCTCGTTTCGCTTCAGACCGTTGTTGCGCCCGATTATATTCCACTTTTTCGGTCAATAACTTGGAAAATTGCAATTTGTAGATACAGGAAAATAGGGCAAACGCTAACTAAATCCGGTCGGGCTGAATCGAAATTGCAGACAATCTGCTCTTCACTTGAGTTTGGAATGGAAATTTTATTTTGCGTTGGGGTGCATTTTCAGTTTTAAGTAATAAGACGTTTTGAGAAAATTTTAATTTTTTCAAAAAATGCATTTGTAAAGTGTTTGGGTCAATAATAAGAACGAAATCGTCGGTTAAAGATCGTGAAAGCTCAAAAACGCTTAAAATGTGCCGAAAATGTCTATTATTTCGGATCTGAAACTTCGAGCATGTTTTTCAATGAGTTCGACGCATTCCTCGCGTCCGTGAGCTAGATATGACGTAAAATTTAGGACATTTCGGAAAAAAAAATTTTTTTCAAAAAATCGACCTCCACCCTTGGAAAAATTTTGACCAAAAATCAAAATTTCACATGCCTGTTTTTTGAGCTCAATCGATTCCTTTCGACGTAAGAAGTTCCCAAATATGCATTTGTAAAGTGTTTGGGTCAATAATAAGGAAGAAATCGTCGG